ATCTCCCCTCTTTCTATTTCTCTCTCTCTCTCTCTCTCTCTCTCTCTCTCTCTGTCTCTTCCTCTCTCTCTCTCTCTCTCTCTCTCTCTCTCTCTCTCTCTCTCTGTCTATTCCTCGGTGTCCTTTCGTCGATGATGTGCTGTCGACAGTTTCGCCCGCCGCTCGCTGCGAGCTGCAGATCACGACAAGGGCAGCTCGTTTGTGGGCGAGCTCAAAATATTTCGGGTTGTTTTTCGCACTCGTAATGGGGTGCAGCTCAGTCAATAAGCCGGCATCCTGCGGCATCGCGGCAGATAATGAATGCGCCTCCCCCGACGTATTGTCCACCTCTTGCTGACCGTTGTCCGTCGCGCAATGTGCACACAATGCTTGCGTAAGGCATTGTATGTTTGGGGAGGGGTAGTGCATAGACGCGGCCGGCGGGGATCCTGTTCGCCGCTGCGCCACCATTGAAGCCCGTGCTGACTAGCCAATCCCGATAGCCCGCCATTCAGCACAAGTGCAAATAGTTTGTGCTGTGTCAGCGTGCTGTGTAGCCAGGTGAGCCAGACAGAAGTTGACCACGGTAAGAGGTACATTTTTCTTCTCTCTCGGCGCTGCCCAGTGGCATCCGGCGGCAGCGTGGACCCCCTGCAAGATTCCTCTCGACAACCCCCGTGTATGAGATAGATATATTCGTAGTCGTCGTCATCGTCGTCGTGTGAAACTTCATAATGCTGCACCAGCATCAGATATCTCCCTGCTCCGAGCAGAGCTACGGATACTCGCAGTACGGAGACCCGGACGCCGGCGGCGGTTACTACAAGGATGTTTACACGGTAACGCCGACGGCAAGTCCCGTAGGCACGGGAGAGCACACGCCGATGCCGGAACCTTCTCCAGGTTACTTCTACCCGTATCAGGAGGTAAAACCCGAACCGGGACAACTCGTGTATAAACAGTACGGCGATTCCGGACAGTCGGTTTACAACGGGCCGTCGCAGTATACCCCTTCCGAACAGGAGAGTCCGTACGGACCGAGTGTTGGGGTCGTAGCAGGAGGAGGAGGCGGCGGTGGCATCGGAGGGGGAGGAGAAGGAGGAGGAGGGTTCTCTCTTCCCGGTCAGAGCAGCGGTCGCATGACGCATGCGATGCAAACGCAGCCGGGGAAGGTTTGCGTCCAGCTGGTCAATCGCGAGCTTTGGTTGAAGTTCCACGAACACACGACTGAGATGATCATCACGAAACAAGGACGGTAAATATGCCATCGTACTATTAACGAAATATGAAACATCTCATTTAAAAATCGAAACAAGGACGGTAACTATGCATACGTTCTAGTAACGACTGTATAACAAACGTAAATATGAAACATCTCATTTAAAAATCGAAACAAGGACGGTAACTATGCATACGTTCTAGTAACGACTGTATAACAAACGTAAATATGAAACATCTCATTTAAAAAATCGAAACAAAGACGGTAAATATGCCATCGTATTATTAACGAATGCAACGAACGGAAATATGAAATATTTTCATTTAAAAATCGAAACAAGGACGGTAAGAACTCATCAGATACGTTTTAAAAACCCGACTCGTATTAATCGAACCCGAAAATATGAAACATTTTTATTTACAAAATCGAAACAAGGGCGGTAAATATGCTAACGTACTTTTATTATCGAACGTAAACATGAAACATCTCATTTGCGCTCGCGATTCCTCACTTCCGGTGTCGAAGTATTGGTTAGATTTAACGATTATTAAACTCGTCGGTCTCTGTTTTGTTATTATGATATTATAGCGGCATGATCATGTAGAAATATCTCATGTTTCATAATATTACTTTTAAACTACAGTGGTCTTAATTAGTTCTCGTTGAAAGGTGGCGCACACCCAGCGCAACACGGCATTGCCGCTTTGCTATGTCTCGTGTATTTGTGTCCGTTAGCTTTGTCGTAGATAATTATCACAGAGTCAGTGCTTGCTATTTTACTTATTATCATATTATTTATTATTATATTTATATTATATTATTTTATTTATATTATTATAATATTATTTATTATCACATATTTTTTATCACTTAATTATACTTACAAGAAACATGTGATTTTCTCATAGTTTTAGGGGAACATGCATGCGCTTGGTTGCGAATACTCCACGCTAGCTTGATTAAGGTGGCACGCACACATGTATAATTGCTGCACGGCGGAACTGGTTTACGGCCGGCGTGGGTTGTTTGTGTGGGATCGGTTACAAGTTACGTACCCGCCTCCGTTTCTCACTCTCGTTGACGCCTCGTTAACTAGAATTACATGCGCTCATTGCTACCCACCACCCGCAACCAGAGGCGGTCACGATGATACCTACTATCGCGTGACACAGCACACTGACTGATTATTAAAACTACTCACTATTATTAATGATTGAGTATTTATATCGGACACGGGGTGCAATGATAGCTTACGTAATCTAAGCTGGTTGGTCGGTATTTATTATTTTCTTCATTCTATGCGATATAGCATTGTATTATATATATATATTTATTTATTTATTTAAATAATACGAAAAATACGAGCCGGCTAACATCAGGCAATTGTAACCAGATTCCTTATTATTCAGCAGATGCAAGATATTTTGTCACGCTTACGGTTAAACCATTTGAGGTTGACTATGCACTATATGATACTATATATGACATTATATCATATGTGAGTCGGATAAAAAAAAAAGTCTGACAGATTTCACAATAAGACACGAGTTATTCTAGATACAGGCTTTACAATTATTAACGCTTTGCCGTTGTTTATAGCCGAGATAGTTTCCTTTAATAAATTATGCCAATAGAGAAGGGGAAAGCACGCGCGAAAGAGAGGGGGGAGTATAAGAGTATAAGTAGGAAGGATGAGAGGAAAATCTAATATAGAGACAGTCAGTGTGCGCGAGAAAGACCGCGAAGGAAGAAGGAGAGAGGGAGCGACAGCAGGTTTGTGAGCGCGCGCGTGTGTGTTTGTGAGAGGGTGGCGGGAGAGAGTGTGCGCGTGTGTTTGCGAGAGGGTGGTGGGAGAGAGTGTGCGCGTGTGTTGTGAGAGGGTGGTGGGAGAGAGTGTGCGCGTGTGTTTGTGAGAGGGTGGTGGGAGAAAGTGTGCGCGTGTGTTTGTGAGAGGGGAGGGTGGGAGAGAGTGTGCGCGGGTGTTTGTGAGAGGGGTGGGTAGGGAGAAAGTGAGCGCGTGTGTTTGTGAGAGGGGTGGGTAGGGAGAGAGTGTGCGCGTGTGTTTGTGAGAGGGGTGGGTGGGGAGAGAGTGTGCGCGTGTGTTTGTGAGAGGGGTGGGTGGGGAGAGAGTGTGCGCGTGTGTTTGCGAGAGGGGTTGGTGGGGAGAGAGTGTGCGCGTGTGCGGCGTGGGGGGGTGATGATGATCCGCAGACATGAAGGCAGATTAAATGTGATCTTTTATGGAAATGTAAATAACGCTATACGCTAACGCCATAGCGGAAAGCGTAGATCCATATATTAGGCAAGCATTATGTATACATCTCGTAGAGTTATTTCTATATAATTGTCTCGCTTATCTATATCAAGGCATAATGAACTATATACCGCGACTTTCCTTGATATGACGACATTCTAAAACGCACAAACTCTTGATATATTTACGGCCGATAAGCAATTTCGGAGAAATTATGAAAACAACACCCGAACTTGATTTTAAATAAGCACAGACGAAACATTCGCTTCGTTCGTTTTTCTCTACCAGTTAAAGGGGCTATATCATCGAAAATTGTACTAGCATTCTTTGACACTATAAACTGCTAAAATATGTAATATATAATAATATCTAATGTTTAATATTTCAGCGTTTTGTTAATTTTTATGATAAGGTTGTTTTCAACACCTCTCATATAGAGAGAAATTGCAACGCGTACATTAGCTCAAACTATCTAGAATGTTTTTATATTCCAGTCATTCCAGCCACAATGTTACCAGTCATGAGATTGTACGTGAAATGTGACATGCTAATAATAAGATATAAATACCGGACCTATACAGTTTGTACCATTAAGATTCTAGCAGACATCGGAGTGTATAAGCGGCGTACGCGTTTGACCGCGTACGTTTCCGAGATAAACTAGAGAGGCAAAGCAAAATCAACGTTTGTTCGTTGCGAGGCGCTTAATTGCCGCTCTGAACAAATTGCATCGCGCGTGTAATCGTTTCACTGTCGGCATTGTCCGCTAGATCAACCCCGCTAAGCGAACACCTGCATCGCAACCCATTGCCTTCGCCGTGCCCTGCCCTGCGTCACGACCCATTGCTCGTAGTTGACACCGCAATCGGCGGCCCAACCGGTCCGCACCGCAGATGTCCCGCGTTGTTTGAGTGGGGGATAGTCGCGAGGCATTCAGCCGCCAATCAACGCCACAAATGCGTAACTTACGCGCCGCGGGAAAACAAGAGAGAGGGCCGCGGAGGAAAACAAGAGAGAGGGCCGCGAAGGGGGGGGGGCGGTGGCACGAAAAAAAGGGCGAGTGTAAACAGCGTGGCTGTTGTCGGACCTGCGTCAACGTCGTCGTCCGCGTCGTTGGAGGTGGTGGCGGACACGTGCGGCAGTGGTCAGCATTGTTGGCACGTTCGTTAGCGACCAATTCATTCTCCCCCCCCCCACCACCCTCATTCAGACACGGTGCCGATTTTCGGCTCGATTTGCAATATTGTGGTCCTGCAGCCGCGGGGGGACGCGCACATACGGAATATGAGTTACAGGGGCAATCATTCGATTCGGCGTTCACCACTGCGTGCATTTCTGCGATTCACGAAATACGAGAAATATACAGCTGTTGCTAGAAATATAATATAGCCGCGACAAACGATACAACTCATAATATTATCGACATTAAAACAACGCCCCCGCCCCTACCCACGCGGCGCCGCAGTATGAAGGGGAAACCTTGACAATATTTGCGTTGTCTCCATGTATCTTGCACCCCACACCCATCTACACGTTTGACTTTATAATGTACTGGCGCAAATAATTCTGAACAATTGTGGCTAATACTTCAATAATTAGCCGTTTACTCGATTTATCGAGAGCTGTGGTTTCTTTACCCACAAACAAACGCGCCACTATGAGAGATGTAAATCTCTCATTTACTCATAACATATTTCTTTACTTATAGGAGAATGTTTCCGACACTGGCGTTCAACGTCACTGGCTTAGATCCGCATTGTCAGTACAACGTGTTCGTTGATATGGTTTTGGCCGATCCGAACCATTGGAAGTTCCAGACGGGCAAGTGGGTGCCGTGCGGGCAGGCCGAGCAACTTCATCAGAGTAAGTTGATAGTAAAAAAAAAAGATAAATTGAGTCAATAATAAACGTGATAATAGAAATAGCGTATTTATATATATATAAATAGCGAATATATATATGAATATATTTATTTATCATATAGACGCGCGAACATTTGCGTTGCTGGGGAGTGTGGAAGCATATCGTTGCTCATTAGCTCTATCAGTGTAGCCCCTTGGTTCCCTCTTACCCCTTACCTAACGGGAGCGAGGGGGCTACACTGATAGAGCCCCTAAGCGTTCTCTCCCCCTTATCTGTAGCGGAAGCAAAGAATCTACACTCGTAGAGCCCCTAAGCTCTCTCCCTTTACTTGTAACGGGAGCGAAGGGGTTACACTGGTAGCGCCCATAAGCGCTCTCTCCCCCTTATCTGTAGCGGGAGCGAAGGGGTTGCATACTGGCAGAACTATAGTTGCTCACGTGCCCGTTGTAATCGACTTTTCTGTTGGATAGATGGAAGAGTTTACCTGCATCCGGACTCGCCGAACAGCGGCACGCATTGGATGCGACAGGACATTGTATTCAGCAAACTGAAACTCACCAATAATAAGGCGTGCAACCAACAAGGACACGTACGTGGGTTTGCGTATTATTTATTACACATTACCACAATCGTTCCGCGTTACGCACCCGCCGCTCTTTAAATGCCATTGGGAAATGTTATATGAAAGGTCGCGTAGTCTAGACAAGTGGCAAGATATAGTATTTGTACCGTACGCCCGCTGTTAACAGCAGCGATACGTCTCAAAGAATAGCTTGACTCTATTATTAAGCTAGTTCTAAGATGAATGACACACACACACACACACATACGTACAGACACAAACACACGTACACACATGCACACACGGGAAAGCGGTCAGGACGTCCCCATGCAGGTGTGTCGGGCGCTCGGCGTCTCTCTGCAACACGCGCCATCACGAATTCGTTACGATGGCACGGCGCGGCTCACGAGACACACACACACAACACACCACGCCACACACACACAGCAC